ATCTTGCAAGATGGAAATCCTTACCAATATCACTCATGGGGAGAGTTGCTACAATTAAAATGATGGTCTTACCCAGAATAAATTACTTATTCTCGATGATCCCAAACAAGCCACCAGCTGACTGGTTTAAATCTCTGGACTCCTCAATTACTAAATTCCTTTGGCAGGATAAACCTCCACGAATTAGCTTAAAAACGCTTCAGAAGACCAAAGACAGAGAAGGACTGGATCTACCCAACTTTTATTATTATTTCTTAGCCAACAGGCTGCAATATATACCAAGATGGTTGCAAGATAACCCATTAGACGAGTCCTGGTTAGATATAGAACAGACACTTTGCAATACGATAGAGCTTTCAGACTTACCATTTATTAGTTCAAGCATAAGAAAACATGAAAGCTTTAAAAGTATTAGTATCAGCACTTCTCTGACAGCATGGTGGGAGTATCTTAAAATGACAGAGTCTTCACTAGTACCATGCAGACGCACACCTATCTGGAACAATCCTGACATTTTGCAAAACAACAAAATGATGAACCTTCCGGACTGGAAAAATAAAGGAATCCTATACCTGGAACACATAAATGAAGGATTGGACTTCATCCCATTTAATCAAATAGTCTTCCAATTTGGAATGGATAAGAATAGCTTTTTAGAATATCACCAAATTAAATCTGTAGTCAAACAAAAATTTAAGCTCAATAAAATAGAATTACAAACACCACCAAGGGTATTAGACTTTTATAATCTCAAACCCCCCAAACTACTGTCTAAAGTATATAAGACACTGTCCAAAATAGATGATAAAATTGCAATCCCAATTGAAAAATGGGAGGTGGATCTATCAGTTAGCTTTGACCAGGGCTTCTGGTCCCAAACTTGTTTAAAAACTTTTAAAATGATCAGACACCCCAATTTACAATTAATTCAGTACAAAATTCTACACAGAGTACACTATACAGGTCATCGGATGTTCAAGATGGGGTTTGTGTCGTCTGACACCTGTACACACTGCACAAACAACATTCCTGACAATTACATTCATGCACTGTGGTCCTGCCCACCTGTCCAGGAATTTTGGGGTAGAGTATGTGAGGATCTGTCAAAATGTCTGAAATGTCATATCCCAACTTCCCCCTCTCTTTGTTTACTGGGACAGCTGCACGATGTCCCGATTGCAACATCTTTGTTTCACGTTTTTCTGACTGCCATGTGCATCGCTAAGAAAACTATCCTCTCGAATTGGAAAAATAGAGAAACTCTCTGCATCAACCAGTATAGAAATCTTTTGTTAGATCATATTGCACTTGATATAGCCTCTGCTTCAACTTCAGATGAATCTCTCTGGGCTCCTTTGATCGGTTCCATCACATAGCGAGGGTGGGGGGCCATTGATGTTGTCCTGCGGGATGGTGTGGGTGGGGGGTGTGGGGTCTGAGTTTTGAGTATCCGGATGTTCCCTGGAGGTGGGTTCACTGGGGGGTGTCTGGGACTGGGGGGCTGTTGCCCCCCTCTGGAGGTGCTTGGGTTGCCTCGGGGGGTGGACTACTGGCGGTTGGGAGTGTGGCCCCTTGGGGATCTTGGCGGTGGCCATGGGTCACTGCCTGGCAGCTGCAATACCCCTGGGCGGGTCTGGGTGAGGGCCTGGGGGCTCGGGGTTTGGGGGTGGCCGGCCCCGTGTGGGGATCTGGGCGGGGCCTTGGGGGTCGGGTCCTGACATGTATGCTGCCGGGAAGAAGGCAGGAACACTCAGCAGTGCCTGGCCCGGGTTTGGGGGCATCAGGTAGACCTTGGCTCCTCTGCCATTCCATCACAGGGGAGGGGGAGGTCCAGGACGGGGAGGACCAAACCTTACCTCGATGTCCCATGTCTTATATATTCTGGAAGTTGTGCAAATGCAGGGGTGGGCATAGATATTCTGCTGGGATGGGGCTGGGTTGGTGCCCTCGGACTCCGTGAGGCTCTGTAATGCTGCTGCTTTGGGCCCTGGCAGGATGGGTTGGGGTCTCCATGCCCTGGGTGGCAGTTTGACAACAGAGGTGCCTATTGGGGCCAGTAGGGGAGCTGGCTCCCTGGAGGGCTAAGCCCAACCAGCCATTCCTCCCCATCCCCGCATATTTCTCTCCTCCTGCTCCTTCACATCATCACACAAACATACACATAGGACCTTGGGGGGTGGGCAAGTCAGGGAGTGTGGGTATGGACCCCATTTCCGCATTCCTGTGGCAACCTGCCCCCCAATTTTATTTGCACCTTATACACTTCCACTGACGACATTCCACACAGTTTTTAATAGAGTCTTTATTGAGCATTTTTAATAATTAGGATGTAGCCTTTGTTCGAGGTCCTGCACATGTGCTCCTCATTGAGAACTAAACACACACTTAGGGCCTTGGGAGTGAGCACATTCAACAGCATTTGGCAGGGGGATATTTCAGCCTCCTCCTGAGTGCCGGTGCCCACTTCCAATTTTAAACCGCACTTAGACACTGATTGCTGAGGGTGTAAGTGGGGTGGTGCGGTGGCATCAGCTGGCATATGCCGAATGATGCCCGCACTGCCCACTCACCACAGCCATGGAATACACCTCATGATCACACAACACTATATTGGAGCAGGTGGAGGGAGACTAGGGGTCTTAGCCACCTCTGTTGTTGCTAGGCTTCCTGGGGCTGGAGGCTAGGAGGGAGATCTGGCCGTCTGGTTGGGGTCTGGGGTGGTGGGTTGCTGTGCTCAGCGTTGGGCGGGGGAGCCTGCTCATCAGCACCCCAGCAGAAAGGGTCAAACTCTGGTTACCGGTGATGGTTGTACCCATGTGCAGCAGTAACGGGACCAGAGTTAATAGGGTGTGTATGGGGAGCATGAGTGAGTGTCCGGCGTGCATTTTTGTAAGTCTTGGGTTGTATGTGCATGTGTGAGCATGAGGGAGGGAGTGTGTGACTGTGTTTGTGTATGACTGTATATGTCAGGAGGGGCCTTTGGGTCCTCCCCTCTCCTGGAACTTCTCTTGATGATATAGATCTTTGTCCCCCCTCCCCCTGCCACACCTGGTGTGGGGGCTTGTGCCATGGTCTGCCTGAGTGTTCGTGGCAACCGGGTCTGGGGGTTTAAGATTTTGGCATCTGCCTGATAGATCCCGGTGGCTGCCTGGTGGGGTCTGGGTCCCTGGGCTCTGCTGGGTCCCCGGCAGGGGTGGTCACCCCTGGGTCCCGGGTCGCTGGGTCCCGGGTCGCTGGGTCCCGGGCTCGGCCGGCTAGGGGGTGGGAGGCTGCGGGCGGGCCTGTGGGCTTGCCGCTGATATCTCCAGGGACTCTGCCGGCTGCTGGTTGTGGCCCCCCGGGGCGATCCTCTGTGCCTCTCGAGGGGGGCGGGGGCCTTTCTGGTTGCAGTCTCCTTGGGGTTCCTGCATTCTGGGGCAACGCCTGGATCTCTGGGACTTGGAGCTCCCCCCGTCTCCTGCGCATCTTTGGGGGGCGGATCTGTGGTCCCTCACACTCTCTGTTGGACGCTCCTATAGAGAAACCTTAAATAAACAAGCGCGTGTACACACACAGGTGCTCACATGGTGCTCTCAAAAGTATGGGCTTGGGCACGTTCAACCCATGTCTTAAGACTATGGGGGGCACTTAATGCATTGTGATCTATTATTGTGATTCTTCAGTTAAGCAATGTTGATTATATATATATATATATATATATATATAGTTTATTTTTTGTTTTTTTTTCATCAAGTTGACGCAGTGATAGGTAGATCTTGTTGTATTGTTGTTTTGTCCCTTTTTTGTGTCCTTTTCCTTTTTTTTTTTTTGTCTTTTTCTGCAGGTCTAGAAGCAGACTCTTGTTCATTGTTTATTTTTGTGGAACCCCCCCCTCTCTCTCCACCTTTTCTCTTCCTTTCTCTTTCACCTCTGTCTCCGTGTCTGGTCGGAATTACAAAGCATTCAACAACAATAACAATACAGTTTTTAGTATCAGGCGTGACATTAAAAGCAAACGCTTTGATGCTCCACCTGAGAATAAATCTGTAAGGCTTGTCACCAGCATTCAGACATCAATTCTGCTTGCTTCACAGCCAGACAGGACACGGAAAAAAAAAAAAAAAAAAAAAAAAGAATGGGGGAAGTACTGCCGCCTACAGGTCTTGCATGTCCTTAACAATATCTTTATCCGGGTACGTGGGGGCAGAGTTTTTTTTTAAAAAACGAGGTGGTGTGGATGCAAGTTTTTGGAGGGGCGGATATTCGTAAAAAAAAAAAAAAAGGCTAAGTGTGGACTAGGCCTTAGTCTATTTAATTTCTGACACTTTAAAAAGATTTATTCGGTTTTAAAGTGTGAAGTAAACTCCGACGAAGTAAAATCCAAGCCGATCCCGTTCATGTTCATGTTTACGATCCGTGTTTGTTTAACTTTTTTGCCTGCCAATATGGCGTCTACTAACTGAGAGTCACGTGGGGTCCGGAGCTCTATTCAAGGCGAGAGATGACAGTAGATTGCACCAGGAGCTGGTTGGCATATTATGGTCTCATCTTTCGTATGTTATACAGCGCAAAGTGGCATGAACGAGCAACAGAGGTAAAGGGATCTTTAAAGGTCAGCTGGTCATCAATCACAACACCCAAATTTCAGGAGCCAGTGATCGGGAATATTTTTGAATTGAGATATTGTGCCGTATGGATGGTTTCGCTGGGATGACAAGTAATTCAATCTTTGAGAGGTTGATTTGGAGATGGTGGGATTTCATCCATCTTGACATGTCAAGGAGACAGTCCGAGACTGGTGCGGAAACTGTGTGGTCATCCGGCGGGAATGGCAGGAGAAGCCATGTGATCGAATGATCTCACCCAGTGAGATGGTGTATATGGCGACGACAGTTAATTACCTGCTGATTGAAATCAGGTGTGTTGAAACAGAGTTAAAATTAAAACAGGCTGGATACTGACCCTCCGAGCCCGGAATTGAATACCCCTACTGTAAAGGGTAAATTTAGCACGTACTGGCTCAAAGAAAGGATTTAAAAATACAAAAAAAAAAAAAAAAAAAAAAAAAAAAACTGTTTCCTCTCCCAATTCCTGCTTCAACAATTGCAGATGTAACTGTCTAAATTTAGTTTAGGTTAGATGATTATCGAGGCTGGCTGATGTAGCACACTACCATTTTCTATCCTGGTTAAATAGCTTTCACGTAGCCTGGAGGTTATGAAACAGCTATTTGCCCTATTGTTCTTTGTAAGAAACTAATTAGAGTCCCACTAAGCTCAGATCAAATGGAATAAACCAACAGATTGTACTTGCTTAAGTATTTAGTAGATATTTCACCACTGCCACCAGAAAAACCCTCCCAATGTTTTGCTTTCCCATGTTTTAGACAAAAAAATAAAGTTGCAACTAGAGCAAGAACAATTTATATTAGACTCAGATGACTCCTGTACAGATTTTTCTAAATGTCAGCTGCAGTTTTTTGTAGCCTAAGTCTTTTTGACCACCCTGTTTTCTACACTAGATTTATTAAGAAATAATCCAATTTCAGTGTTACGTCCAATAAAAAAAAATCTAATGACAGAAAGACCCTCTTTAGGTAATTGTTGATTGTTTAAACACAAATCAATCAAACTGGACTGGTCCTGTGAAATATTGTGCTCATGTGCTCACATCTACTACAAACTCAGACCTGTGACTATCCCTGCTGTCAACTTTGACATGTAACATTTATGGCTCTATTGGAAAATCTCATTCTCTCTCAGTCCTTGCTGAACGAAATGATCTCAGGCTTCGATTGAAAGGACTGTGGCTCCAAATTGGACTTCTTCACCATTACCAGTACTGCCTGACTGTCACCTACAATGGGTTTCCACATCCTTAATCCGCATCCTAAGATAAATTATTGAAGCCATTATTTGGATCTGATCTAATCATTTAGGCATGAATAATTCAACTAAAGCAACTGAAAAGATCTTCTCTTTAACCAAAGTGGTTAAAATAGGAAATGTGATTTGAGGGAAAGTATTTTCACCTTCAAATTGGTTAACAATCAAATAGCTTATATTTTTATTCAGTCACACAGGTTGCTACTGAAAAGTGATTCAAAGTTTAACAGGTGTCAGCTCAACCAGCCATTACCATTCCAGTTAGGTTTGCAGAACTGAAAGTTCAAAAACTCAAAATGAATGACAAGCAGCCATCTGGCTGCACTTTCCCCCAAGCTTATCAATAACTACAAACTGGAATAGCTTTAAAGAAGAAAGCCCTTTGAAAGAAGGCTTTTGCCACTAAAGCTCTCCCTTGTGTCCATGCTTTGGGGATACAAGTCATCCTGATTCAGAATTCATCATATGTAATCATCAGACTCATTCGGAAAAAAAAGAAAAGTTAAGCACATCAAGCTTCTTGTCTGATCAAAAAGGAATTCCTTAGAGGGTTAAAAGTGGTAGAAGTGCTTCAAAGGGCGATTATCACTGTCATAAAGACAAATTTGAACTGAAAAAGCAAAGATAGTGTCGGGCTGACTACAGGAGTGCTTTATGAGGTTTTGGTTGGTGGGCACAAAAAAACAGCCAAATATGTCATGTGCTGAGTGTGTTTTTCTTCCCCATATATGTATATGTGTATTTTCTTTCTTTCTTTGTTTATTTATTTTCCTTCTGACCAGCCGAGCTCCTGTGTTTACTTTAAAGTCAATTTATATGAGGTGGAGTGAAACGTTTACTTTGGGGACTTTATGTGAGACTCATCCTCGTGTACATCACTGGCCGGATTTTCTTTTTGTAGTTACCGTTTTGACTTGTGAGGCCAAGCTGGTGAGTTTATGTGCGAATAACTGTGTCAAGTTTATAAATGTATGTATTCAGCTTGTTCGGTAATTACTAGGTTTATAATGCTAATGTTGCATGGTTGTGTATTTTGTGTTTTTCAGTTTATTACCTGGCTACTGGCAAGACACGGTTACTGTGCAGGCATGTAGCATAGTTAGCTTAGTGTGTATGTGGCATGTGTGAAAATAAAACTGAAAAAAGCAGGAACCAGTCGTCCGAGCTGGAGTACGACACGGTATCATCAGTCAAAACACGCCCTTACGGTGGGAGTTCACTAAATAAAAGTAGTTATTTCATTAAAAACCGTACACTGAGGGTCAAAACAAGACTGGATCACATGGGGCAATGGTAGTAGAGGAGTTAAGTGCCCTCCCCATATGCGAAGGGTTTCATGTTCAAGCCCCGCTCAGTCTGTCATGGTTATTGCGTCCTTGGTATGCTGTCCTCACTAAAGTTTGTTGCAGGCAACGCAATTTCAGTTATACAGCTAGCTTAACATTCCTTTATTCCCAGCACTTCCTCCTCCAAGAAACAGGCCGCTTGTTGTGTTTGGCAGGATTTAATGATGAAAATAAATTCTCTCTCTCTTTTTCTGTAAAACTGTACAAAGAAAAGAATACAAAATACACAATGAAGACATGTTCCATTACACTTGAAGAACAACATTGCTCTAGTAAAAAACATACGACCACAGATGAGGCATCTGCTAAAAAAATATAAGCATCTACCTGCCTCCATATGATTTAACTCAAACAGTGTCAAAACTTACTAATACATATTAAATGTATAGGAACTTACGGATGAAGCCGATATTGTGGACTTTAACACCAGGATTGCAAAGATTGCCATCAGATTACAAAATGCTGTCACTTCAGCAGCTAAAAGAACACACTACTTCCTGTAGACCACTTCCTCTACAAAAAAGGGAACATTCTGCTTAGTTACCACTAGGTGGCAGTAGCACTTCTTAAACAACAACAATATGTCCGTTCCATAACACTCCCCGCTTGGCATATTAACGATATGCCACTTTATGCCACAGTCTCAATCCCCTAGCTTGCTGATGAGCCCTCGTCCTGTGCTGAAAACAACAAGATCACTTGCGAAACTGGTCTAGAGAAGATCTTAGCTGTTTGGTTCCGTATCACCTTAATTTCGACTTTCCTGACAAGTCCATCTCTGCTGGGAACAACCTTGACAACAATTCCCATAGGCCACGGATTCCTCTTGGTTTGATCGTCCTTGAGCAAAACAACATCTCCTTCTTTGAGATTAGGTTTCTGAGATTGCCATTTGTGTCGACTCTGTAATGTGCTCAAATATTCACGGCGCCACCTAACCCAGAAGGTATCTGCCAATGCCTGAACTCTTTTCCACTGATTCTTGAGCAGATCCCCTTTTGAAAACTCACTTACAGTAGGAGAGGGAACGCCACCCTTCTGGGTCAGCAATATGGAAGGTGTTAGAATGAAAGGCGCCTCAGGATCAGTAGAAACTGGTATTAATGGTCTTGCATTGAAAATGGCACTCACTTCAGCCATGAAAGTGGTTAAGACCTCATGAGTGAGCTTTACATGTCCAACCTGAAGAAGCATGGAATCTAAAATCCGTCTTGCCACTCCAATCATGCGCTCCCAAGCGCCGCCCATATGAGAGGAGTGAGGTGGGTTGAAAACCCAAGTGCATTTTTGTTCAAGAAGGTAATCCTCTACACTCTTATTGCCAGGATCCATCTTCAGCTCTTTGAACGCTCCAGTGAAATTGGTCCCACAGTCCGAGCGAAGCTGTTTTGCATGACCCCTGATAGAGAAAAATCTGTGGAGCGCATTTATAAAGCTTGAGGACGTCATTGTTTCAATAACTTCAATATGTATGGCTCGAGTGGACATACATGTGAAAAGGACAGCCCACCTTTTGTCCTGAGCTTGACCACCTCTGGTACGGCGCATCACCACTTCCCATGGTCCAAAAACCTCCAGGCCAACGTAGGAAAATGGAGGGTCAGCCTGAAGGCGCTCTGTGGGTAGGTCTGACATTTGTTGCTTCTCGGTCCTTCCTCTTAGTTTCCTGCATGTAACACACTTGTGAATAATGCCGCTGATGAGACATTTCCCTCCAACAATCCACAGACCACTGTCACGAATTGCACCTTCAGTGAAATGCCTGCCCTGGTGCAGTACAGCCTGATGATGATGAGAAACAAGTAAGCTTGCTACATGGCTGCGGCTTGGTATTATTAACGGATAGACTTCACCAGTTTCAAGTTGTCCTCGACCAATGCGTCCACCTATTCTTAACATACCTTCGCTGTCAAGAATGGGTCGAAGTTTGTACAGAGTACTGGTTTTCGGAAGGTCATGTTTCATTTTGATGCACTTCAGTTCTTCTGAATACATTTCTTCTTGTACACATTTTATGATGATCTGTTCTGCTCTGACAATGTCAACGACTGACAGGCCACTTTTGCACATATGCCATCCAACACACCTTTGATTCTTTGAGGAGTGAGAGAAACACTGAGCAATATGACACAGATGTGCCACAGTCTTACTGAGTGTGCTCCAGCTAGAAAAACGCTGGAAACGTTTTGAGCCAAGCTTGTCTCTACTAACGTGCGTGGCGAGCGAAGTTACCTCAGGACGTACCTCAGCGTCAGCATCTGGGTTCACAAGGTCAAATGTTGATCCATTATCGCCACTGGCAGCTACCTTTGGTTGTTTCATTAGGAATGCTGGTCCTGTTAGCCACGTTGTGTCGGCAAGCTCAGCGGCTGGAACAGAACGTGACCCATGATCAGCCAGATTTAGTTCTGAAAGAATGTAGTTCCACTGCTCAGGTCGTGATGGCTGCCTGATGCACTGCACTCTATTGTTCACATACACATAGAACCTCCTAGTCTCGTTGTGTACGTATCCCAATACAACTCTGCTGTCAGTGTAGAATTTCACTGCCTTGAGATCTAGATCGAGCTCCCTCGTTACTAGATCGGCTATCTCAACGGCCATGACAGCAGCACACAATTCCAGTCTTGGGATTGTGAGGCCTGGGTTGGGAGCGAGCTTGGATTTCCCGAAGACAAAGCCCACCTCTTGGAGACCCTGTTCATTCATTGTCTTAAGATAAGTAACTGCAGATATTGCTTTGACAGAGGCATCACAGAAGATCAATAATTCGGCGTGCTGTGCTTTGGAAACTGAGAAAGAGGCATATGCTCGTGGAACATTCAGGCTTTTTAGTGCTGACAATGATTTACTCCATTGTCTCCAACTGTCTTTTTTAGCTTCAGGGAGTTCTGCGTCCCAGTCCGCATTCTCGGTTGTTAGCTCTCTTAGAATCAGTCTCCCTGTCACTGCAACAGGAGCTATGAACCCCAAAGGATCAAACAGACTGTTTATTGTTGACGGGGCACCCCGGCGTGTAAATGGCTTTTGATTCTCAGGAATATTGAATCCAAAGGTGTCCGTCATTATGTTCCAGCTGACTCCAAGGCTGCGTTGGACTGGTAAGTCATCCACAAAGAGGTTAAGGTCTTTTACATTGTCTGCTCTTTGATCTGCAGAAAATGCATTCAATACTTCTGCTCTATTTGAAGCTATTTTGTGCAGAGTGATGTTGGATGCTGCCAACATCTGCTGTGTTCGACGCAGAACATCAATGGCCTCTGCTGTTGTAGCGAAATACCGGAGGCCGTCATCTACATAGAAGTCTCTTTCTATGAAGTGCCTCGCATCACTGCCATAATCAACTTCTTGGTGCTCTGCTGCTTTCCTCAGGCCAAAGATTGCCACTGCAGGTGATGGACTGTTTCCGAAAACATGAACACGCATGCGATAATCCACCACATCCTTACTCAGATCGTTTTCCTGGTACCACAAGAACCTTAGGAAATCCCTGCAATCCTCACGAACAACGAAAAAGTAAAACATCTGCTGAATATCTGCAGTTATGGCCACGGGCTCTATTCTGAATCTGAGGAGGACACCGACGAGACTGTTGTTAAGATCTGGTCCAGACAGCAGCACCTCATTTAGCGAGACTCCATCATACTGAGCGCTGGAATCAAACACCACACGTATCTTGCTTGGTTTTTTGGGATGGTAAACACCAAACGTGGGCAAATACCAGCACTCTGCCCCCTCCTGGAGTGGTGGTGCAAGTTCAGCATGTCCCTTGTCCAACATACTCTGGTGACAAGCTCCTGCGCTCGGGGAGTGAGGGGGGTGGGGGGTTTTGGGCGACGCGCTGTGCCAGACCGTAGGTACTGACACGCGATCGTTCATGTCGGTTCATTTCCTTTAATGTTTTCTGTCTTTTATTTGCGCCTGATGTGTATCGCTGCTGTGGAGCGGGGCGCATCAACTTGTCCTCCGACGCACAGATCACTGATGCGGCCGGCAAGCAGGGAGCACTCCGCTGTTTTTGCGGTCGGTAGACCTGCCTCCTGAGCACGGCCACAGTAACAATCAGGTGTCGCCACCTCAAAAACTAATTTAACACGCGATCGTTCATGTCAGTTCATTTCCTTTAATGTTTTCTGTCTTTTATTTGCGCCTGATGCGTTTCGCTGCATGCTGTGGAGCGGGTCGCTGCGCGCATCACCTTGTCCTCCGACGCACTGATCACTGATATGGCCGCCAAACAGCGAGCGCTCCGCTGTTTTTGCAGTCGGTAGATGTTTTAGAACTGCAGTTCAAAGGTAACTCATGAGGTGAATATATATGAACCCAGGTAGCAGTTTTTCTTTTGGATTGAGAGGAGATGCAGGAAGATAATAAACAGACAGGACAGAAAAATAGTCAAATAAAAACAAGTTAGTTTTTGTACCTGCTGGTTGCAACAAACAGACACCATTGAAGGTCATCAGAAGTGAGGAACAGAAAATGAAATAATTATTTTAATGTTTAGAGCAGCAGGAACTCCGAGAGGCTGCAGGCGCATCAGTGAGTTTGCGGCCGCTGCGCAGGGGGAGGGGGGAGAGGGCTGAAGCAGGGGGAGGGGGGAGATGGCTGAAGCAGAAACTACCGTTGTTAAAAGAAATGTGTTTAACTTTGAAAATGTGGGCGCAATTTTAATTGTCAAAAACTCCAGCGAACCATTAGTTCATTTTGCTCAAATAGAAATAGAGGCCTGCCTCTAATACTGGCCCTCCTTCCAATAAAGGCCGGGAGCTTGATGAGCTTGAGTCAAATACAGGCCTGGGCCTGTATTAGAGGATTTACGGTACATTCACTAGACACATCTTTGAGCAGGATTTCCCTTGAAACCCATCCCCACATACCTGGGTACATCTGGATGTGACGTTGGCTGTGTCTCAATTCAGGGTCTGCATCCTTCAAAGGACCCAGCCCACCCGGCCGACGTGGGCTGCGTCCTCCGTCGGCCGGGTAGACCGGATGTTAACGGCTGTGAATTTGGACAGGCCTAGCCTTCATGAACTCCCTCGGCGAACGTTCCGTCGCCTAGCAACCGTGGAACCGCTGGGCAGAAGGAACCTTAAACGATGGAGCTCGACGTTTTATTTAGCTTTTTAACCCCCAGAAACCCAAATTTAGAAAACAACTGCAAAATATTTTTAACCTTTCACATGTTGTTCTAGGAGGCCAGATAAACGGGCCTATTTACACATTTTAACAGCCAATAGTGTTGCAGAACTGAATAGGACCTATTAGCAATGTAAATGTGGTTTTAAAAAGAAAAAAAATGGGGAAGGTTTATTTTTGTAGACTTAAATCTGATGTTGTGATACTACAACCGTGGGTCTCTGGGGGTTAATCATTTCCTTGACTGTTGGAGAGCTAATTCAGAGAAAATACTTTAGACTAGCTGAGCCTGAGCAAAGATGTGATAATAGTTTTTAATACTTTCTAAGGGTCTTAATTTGACCAAAACCGATTTATCACCTTTTAAAACTTTTCAAGACCCAGCGGATACCCTCTAGTAAACAATTCTCATTTGTAAACAAAAATAAAATTCAAGAGTTTAATGCAGAACTGATTTTATTTAGATATTTCTTTTACATGTACATGTTTAATCTTCATTAACCATTTTTTTCTAGCAAAGTAAAAAGCTGTCAAAGTTCTTCCTTCTCTCCTGTGCTCTCTGCTGCTCTGCAGCCTCATGTCCTCCCAGATCAGCTCCAGAAGCTCATCGCTGGCACCTTCCCCTGGATGCCCATTTTCTCCAGAATAGTCTTAACAAACATGTAAGAAAAGAAACAGGAAGAGAAAAGAGGACAACGGGTTATTCCTTTCATGTTTTCGCAGATAAAAATAAACTCAAACGAGTTTTTAAAATATGAGATGTTATTGTACCTCCATGCCACAGCCGCCGAATACTTTGCTCCGGTGATCATGTGGTCCATCTCCGCCCTAAGCTTAATAAATTCCCTGGTATTCTCTTTTGGTCCTAAAATACAAACTTCTATTAAAATCAGGGGGAAACGTAGTGGGAGAAGTACGACACCGAGCGCGGCCGAACATACGAGCCGAGACCGCAATACAAGCACTTTTACTGTAACATTTCTAACTAAAATAACGTTCATGTATCACAAAAAGTCCTTAAACTGACAGTTTTCAAGTTTATACTTACATTTATATGCGCAATCCTCTCCGACAGCTCCCGCTTCACCTTCCGCCATTGTTTTTAAGTTTTTCTGCCGGCCGGCCCGCAAGGCATCTTGGGAAATGCTACCTATTGAAGGATACACCCGACCCATCCTTCATTCAGGCGAAAAGAAGGCCGCATTCGTCGACCGCATTTGAAGGAGTCTTCGAATTGGGACAGGCCGAGTCGCGGCGCTGTGACGTAACCGGCCGACGAATCCGGCCGAGGTAGGATGCAGACCCTGAATTGAGACACAGCCACTCTGTGCCTCTGTGTCCGACCTCTCCCCGCCATTCTCTGTCGAGGAAGTAGGAACTGCATCTGAGCGTGAAACTGGGCCAGGGTGCAGAGCAGAAATGTGTTTATCGCTGTCACATTCTTCGCATTTTATGGTGGCCTCACAGGATTTGGCTTGATGAGTTGTAGAGGCGCAGCAGCGAAAACATATGTTGTTTCCTTTTAAGAACCTTTTCCTCTCTCCCAGGAGCAGTTTTCGAAACCCTCTGCATCTCTGAAGAGAATGAGGCTTGTTGTGCATGGGGCATAGCTTCTCAGGATTTCCTATTTTGGGTTCAGGAGCCAAAGATATGTTTGTCTTGTGCACGGCGACAGGTCTCACTTGATTTGACCTTTCTTTTCTGTAAGAATTTGTGAAAAGATCTGGATAGTTAAAACTGGGATCATTTCTCTCTTCAGCCTCTCTGCAGATGAATTCTTTGAAGTAGCAGAAAGGAGGAAAGGCAACATGATGATCTCTTTTGTATTTGCACCCGTGTGACAGCCACTTGTCTTGGAGATATAAAGGGAGCTTTTCCACAATTGGCTGCACGCCTCTTGATGTATCAAGATAGGCTAGACCTGGTAGGTAACCCTCTCTTTTAGCAACCTCAAGTTCAGTGAGCAAATCAGCCAGTTCTTGCAGTTTTTGACTCTCTCTGTTGTGGATCTTGGGAAAACTCTCAAGTTTACCAAACAGAGCTCTGTCTATCACCTCTGGAGCACCATATTTTTTATTTAGTCTTTCCCAGATCATTCTGAGTCCCACATTAGGCTGTCTAATATTCACAGACCGTATTCTGATTGCATGCTCACCAGATTCTTTACCCAGCCATTTTATAAGCAGATCCATTTCTTCACTTGCTGATAGACTCAGACTTTTGATCGTGTTGATGAACGTTTCTCTCCAGGCCTTATAGTGATCGGGTAAGTCATCAAACTTTGTTAGGCCTGAAGAAACCAGCTGGGATTTAGCAAGGAACCTGGCAAGATCTATAGATGAGTCATTATTGTGGGAGCTGTTTAGATGTGGTCGATTGTCGGGCAGTACCTTGTGCTGGAAGTGCTCATCTTCTTGCTGTGGAAAGTTCATATGGAGTGGCTGAGCTTTAATTTGAGGGAAGCTGGCTCCGTTGTCGATGAGCTGGGGCTGTGCCTTCTGATTGTAGCTTGGAAATGGAGTGGATGTTGGGGGCAAAGTCGAATCATTCCCTACTTTGGGTTCTTGTGGGAACTGTTCTTGTGTGTACTGTGTAACATAGTGATCAGTCCTTTTCAATGCACTCTCTGGCAAAGGCAGAAAGTCAAATTCTTTGTTGTTGGGTTCACTCACATTTCCTGCAGCTGCCTCCAACACCTCGGCTTCCACTTGGGCCGCCTCAGCTTCTTTCTGCAGATTAATATAATCTATCTTGGCTTCTAGTCTGGCTTTTTCGACTCTCAGTTCGCCTTCCTTTTCCGTGAATGCTAGTCTGGTTTTTGCCGCCTCTGCTTTGGCTCGCGCCCTGGCTGCTTCATAGCTTACTCTGGAGCTTGTTGTCGAGCGTGAAGAGGGTGACCTCTTTGAGCTGTGGCATGAATAAATAGACCCCGATTCAACTTCATCTCATGACCCTTCAGCTCTATCTTCATTTAAGGCTTGTGCTGAGGCGCCTGTGACTTCCATTGTAGTGTGATGCAGACTAACAATCCTTCACTCTTCTTAACTTCCACATTGCGTGGTCATCCTTTTACTATGCTGTCCTCACTAAAGTTTGTTGCAGGCAACACAATTTCAGTTATACAGCTAGCTTAACATTCCTTTATTCCCAGCACTTCCTCCTCCAAGAAACAGGCCGCTTGTTGTGTTTGGCAGGATTTAATGATGAAAATAAATTCTCTCTCTCTTTTTCTGTAAAACTGTACAAAGAAAAGAATACAAAATACACAATGAAGACATGTTCCATTACACTTGAAGAACAACATTGCTCTAGTAAAAAACACACGACCACAGATGAGGCATCTGCTAAAAAAATATAAGCATCTACCTGCCTCCATATGATTTAACTCAAACAGTGTCAAAACTTACTAATACATATTAAATGTATAGGAACTTACGGATGAAGCCGATATTGTGGACTTTAAAACCAGGATTGCAAAGATTGCCATCAGATTACAAAATGCTGTCACTTCAGCAGCTAAAAGAACACACTACTTCCTGTAGACCACTTCCTCTACAAAAAAGGGAACATTCTGCTTACTTACCACTAGGTGGCAGTAGCACTTCTTAAACAACAACAATATGTCCGTTCCATAACACTTGGACAAGGCAACGTACCCTCCTTGCTACTTGCCACCATTAGCAACTCCACAACACAGCAGAACTCCTTAAGTTATTCGTGGAGATAAAACATCAGTGTTGCAGAGCAAACTGAGTCAGTGGTAGTGTTGCATAGTTGTTAGCCAATCAGAGGTTAGATGTCTAAATATCATGAATGTAAATGAGTATGACTGCAAATCCTGCCGTTTTCTACCCCCTCTCCTCCAGCTAACTTCTGCTTCAGAAAACAGGAGAGCCAGAGCTTTTGTCGCCAAGAAAAACTCACAAGGCATTTATTCTCACTAAAGGCCACAGCAGATTTATTGAAATAACAAGTGTAACCCCTCCTTAAAGAGGACATATGCAAAACTCACATTTTGCATATGTCATTGTGCTGCCATGTGGGTCTTTACTGCCTCTATAAACACTCCAAATACAAAAAAAAAACCCTGCCCGTCCATTTTTGTTTTTGTCAGTGTTTGACTGTGCAAAGTGATGTGCCTCAAACAAGTCATTTCAAAACATAACTGTTTGTGACGTCACACATGGGGAAACCAGCAGTAAACAATCGCTCTTCTGGAGGACAGCTGCTGCTGATGAAGGAACAGCAGCTCTACTCCAAACCCCTCTCAGCTATATAAGCCAGTGTTTCCCAACCCTGGACCTCAGGGCCCACTGTCCTGCATGTTTTCCGTGGAACATTTGAAACACCAGTGTTTCCCTGCTGCCACACACCTGACTTAAATGAATGAGTGATTAACAGGCTTCTGCAGCACTTGATGTCCTCCTGAGGAGCCAATGTATATCAGGTGTGCTGAAGCAGAGACATGGAGTACATGCAGGACAGTTGACCCTGAGGACCGGGAATGAGAAACACTGAAAGCTTCCCAGCAATAACTACACAGTTGTTGGGCGTGACCAGGTCCAGTTTTTTTAAGTGACAGAGCACTGAATTGGCTCATTTTGGAAGGTACTGCAACTGTCAAGAATAAAGCTTCTGACATCACTGAATGCGAGAGGGATTTTGTCCACAGAACTTCTTGAACATGTTTCGTATCAAAAAGAGGACTATCACTTAAGGAAAAAATCACATGCCTCCTTTAAATAAACATTCTACATTTTAAAAATGTTATCATTGGAAATGAATAATAGAAACAACATAACATCCAGCTTTTCCTCATGATAAAATCCACCTTTACCTTTCTATATTTATGAATTCTACGAAGCAGACGTGTGACCAAGTCACTGCGTTGCAAGTCACAAGTAAGTCACAAGTCTTTCCAGTCAAGTCTCGAGTAAAGTCCAAGTCAAAAACAATCAAGTCCAAGTCGAGTCCAAAGTCAATGATGTGGAAGTCCAAGTCAAGTCCAAGTCCTTAACTTTGAATTTTCAAGTCATAATCAAGTCATCTGTCAAACTTCAATTTGATGACGATGATAAATAAATTCCAGAAACAAAGTTTCTTAAAGCTTCATTTATTTGCTCAAACAAGCAGATACAACTGAAACTGATTATAAACAAAGTGCTGCTGCATTCAGCAGTACAAGATCAAACCCAGAACGAAGAATGATTTATGATTGTTGTCAATGTCGGGCCACTTTTGTGCTAAAATATCAAATACGCTCAAGTCATCATCAAGTCAACAGATACAAGTCGATTCAAGTCGCAAGTCATTGGCTTTCAAGTCTGAGTGAAGTCATAAGTCTTTATAGATTTTATTAAATCAAGTCAGAAGTCATTACAACAATGACTCAAGTCTGACTTGAGTCCAAGTCATGTGACTCAAGACCACACCTCTGCTGCTAAGCAATGACATGAAACAATGAAAGCAAATGAAGAGTAAGGTTGGCTATGAAGCTGTTGTGAACAACCAGACTTGTATCTAATTAGGATGCTAAATAAGTATATTGTTGTCAGTAATCAAACCAATATCTGCCTGTTATTACATTCAAACATGAGTTCCAACTCAAACATACCCGGTGGGTAGCCATGCTTCTTCATAAAATATTGGATTTTATAGATATGAAAAAAAAAAACCTACAACCTTCTTTAGATAAAACAATGACTCATACTAAATTAAATCTAAGGATAAAACTGCAAAAAGCCTGAAAACTGCTGACTCACGCTCTGGTTTGATCTGAACACATTTACACACAATGGACCGTTACTTCCAGTGACGTCTGCCGGAGCATGGTTTCAGCTTAATGCTCTTCACTAACCCCCTTATAAATAAGAAACCACTTTAAAAGAGAAAACACTGGCATCAGGGAGATATCCTCTTCAACAGACTGCAAATCGCTTCACCCACCATTAAGCCAACAGCTGAGCTTTTTAACTGGCATTATCGTAAGAGCATCTGTGTAACGCCGACTTGACATGCTGTAATAATGATACACCACTTGTCCATATACCCAAGGTCCCCTTGTTGCTCAGCCTAATCGTCACTATCATGACCACAGAAGTATGACCAGATACAAACACCACAGAGGGCAGATGGGAAATTGTGTTTCAGAACATGAGCTCAGGCTTCACGGGACCTTTGGGACACTAAGAGCAGGAGAAGGCTCTGAGAAGGATCAGCGTTTAAAATGTAT